ACAATTTATATCCGTTTTTTTTTTCAGCCAGTTTAGTTAACATTGATTTGTCCATATGTCTCACAAAATCCACTTTTGGACCATTTGCCTCAAAACCTCAGTCGATAGAATTCCTGTTTTAAGTTATTTTTGTTCAACATCAATACAGAAAACTCCCCTATGACTCCTGGTTCAAAAGCTCGCCTTAATTCAAAATGGTTGCCATTTTTGTCTCGCGAAATTCATTTGTGGCCCATTTTCTAGCTTTACAAATAATTTCAGGTGTCCTGCATTGTAAAAAGCCATGTCACTCTAGTTGTATGAAATAATTTTGTTACAAAAAATTGGCAAAAATTACATCCATTTTTTTACCATTTTAGCCATCATTCACTTTTGAGCAATACCATGTATTTATTTTGTACTTTTTATGTCCCCACCACATAGTGTGGGGCCATTTTGTCAGTCTAGGGGCGTCCGTCCGTCTGGTTGTCTGTCTGTCTGTCCGTCCCTCCGTCCGTATGTACGTCCGGTAGTTTTCTCCAAAACCGCTACAGATATCACCTTCAAATTTTCAGAGATAACTTATGAGTGCAAACAGATGTGGATAGAAGATTTTTAGCTCGATACCTACTTCCTGTTGGCCATTTTGAAGTCAAATGCTAAAATCCTTGTCTGGAAACTTTAAAGGGAATGCGAAGTTTTGTCCCTTAAACTTGATAATACAGGGTGACCCAAAAAAATGCAACCCTCCATTTTGTCAATTTTTTTCTTAAATGGAGGTAAATAAGATTTGGCACACAAGGACTTCATTCTATGTGGGATCCTTTGGCAAAGTTTTAATAATCATTGTCTTATATTGATAGAGTTATGGTTGTTTCAAAATATGCTCCAGATGTCGTCAATTTAGCTGAAAACAAACTTGCAATGTTCAAGGAAAACTGTTCATAACACGTATGCATTCTTCCCCACAGGTATGGCTCAAATTTTTGCAGCCATTGCTTATTGGTGTTTTGCAATTGCGGTAGTGTTATTTTCATACACATTATCCTTTAAATAACCCCTTATATAGAAGTCAGGGGCATTGAGATCAAGACTGTGGGATGACCATGGGTCCTCCATCCTAGGAGAGATAATCATCTCATAGAAATGACTAGTGAGCCAGGCTATGCTATCATTAGAAGTGTGAGGAGTAGCTCCATCCTTCTAGAACCACTGTTCTTGTCTATTGAAGCCTCTATGTCACTCTAGAACTGCCTAGAACTTCCTGGGAACGCCAATATTGGGCAGTGTGTTAACAGTAACAGTGTTGCCATTATCAACCTCAAACCAAAAGGGGCTGATTCATCCAAAAACCTAAAATTCGAAATGGACGACATTTGGAGCATATTTTGGAACGACCATAACTCTATAAATATAAGACTATGATTATTGAAACTTTGCCAGAGGATCCCACATTGAATGAAGTCCTTGTGTGCCAAATTCTAGAGCAATTAACCTCCATTTATGAAAAATATTCGAGAAATGGAGGGTTGCATTTTTTTGGGTCACCCTGTAAGTTAGAATAAAGATATATCTTTCAATCCAACTTCGTTTTATTGTTCTATCATTATCCCTTTAATTGTTATTGAGCCCCGGGTTTTGCATATGAACTGGACCACGGAGCTGCCATTTCAACCGTAAAGTGGTTCTTTACGACATTGTTATGACGTCATTGATGCCAGATTGATGCCTTGGCATTCAAAAAGATTTGTGGCGCCATTTTTGAATCAAAAAATGAATGCCGAGTTGTTGCCATTCCAAAACCAAAGAAATCATTTGAAAGGAACTAAAATAATATGTATATACCACCCATAGTAAAGAACGATTTCAATAGAATATTAACGCCGGCATTTTCGGAATTGCTTGTTACCTATCTAGACATGGAATGCAGGTTAGATTTATTCTTTATTTACACTTCAAACAATCTGGGATTCGTGACTTTTTAACTTTTATTAGGTCTAGCGCTTAATGCGAACAGAGAATGCTAATTCTATCAGGCGAATGCAAACTATCTGAATAAAACATAATAAAATTAATTGAACCAACCAATCTTGAATTTCCAAGAATACAATGGTTTAATTTGCTAGTCTCATTACAAAAATATGTGTTCGTACTTTAATATTCATTGCATTTATGTTTATCTTTAACACAGGTATTCAAAGAAATTAGAATTTTAAAATTAAATTTTTCAACCGTATTCAATTACTATCATGGATTCTTAGCCTCACGTCACATTTTTACGGGGACTGTACGGTCTATCATCTCTGTGGTAAGTAGGATTTCTACCGTTGCCGAAGTATTTCTGCAGTCAGATAATTTAGCAGTCACATTTGCTAAGATAGCCGTACGGCGTATCTTGATTATGAAGAAAAACTACGATTCCCGTACGGCTGATGAATGATGACGCACGATCAGCGTAGGGCGGCCCTACGACGTTCGTAGTTTTTCTTGAAGGCATCAACAAGGGGTTCTATGGTTCGGAAAGGTCAATTGTAACCTATGAAATTCAAGCGAACCCGACGTACGGCCGTAGTGAGACATACGGATTGGCTGCTGCTTGTTGATATCTATGGGGACAACAGGAAAGAAAAAGTTATAACTCCGACTCTACGCCTTGTATAAACTGGATATGTTGTGTACGTAGACAGCAAGGTGACCTTAAGTCGACTGTAGTTTTCCTATTTTTGCCGCAGAAATTTACTGATTTTAGGGAAATATGATCGACGTGTGGTCGCACTGAACAAATGGGACTGAAGCTTTTAAAGTTCCACTTATTTTCCGATATAGAAAAACAAATGGTTGTATGCCATTAAATTGAAAATCATTATTTCAAAAATACTGTAGAACTGTACTTACCACGGATGTTATATAATTAAATTAGAGCTCGAAACCAGGAATTGTTTTTAACAAAAAATAAATATATAATAAAATAAATATTAAACTATTAGTGTATTATCAATACGGCAATTGCCTTATCGTCGTTGAAATGAAATATCACACTACAATCGACCCCATCGTCTCCCCGGATCATGAGCCTTCTCTTGTCATGATCCAAGGTGAAATACCATTGAATTTTGAAAAACTTTTTTGTCATATCGAATGTCGCTACGGCGATATGATGATTGAAATTGGTCGGTTAACAACTGAGAAAAATTAAACATTACGTATTATTCTTTGAAAATATGACAGTGGCATGTCCTTGTAAAGCTATTGCCAATCTTAATATTTAGGAGATTGACATTTACATACGTATCATTTAGACGACATCGATTTTTCGTTTTTTTGTTTGCGTTTTTCATCAGAATTTAAATGGCTAAACACTTTAGGGAGTTAATGTTTCATTGGATTACTACTTTTTGTTTTATTTCTTTCATTCTTTTTTCTACCTAGCCTATACTATATCACATTGGAGAAAATAGATACAAACATTTGAAAAAATACATTGCAGCAATTCAATTTCTATGAAGAATATATTGAAACAACCTTTCCAAATATATATAATATGATATGGACATGAACATGCGGCAACAATGTTAAGCGGACAGAAATAGTTATAAAATATCAGTGAAATGTGTTCTATTTCTGCGATCCGAGTATGACGTGATTATGTATAGCGACATTTCCCAGGCATCAATTTTAAGGCATCAATGACGTCATTGATACATAACAATGTATCCAGATCCAGATATGGGTACTTTGAACTTAAATTATATGTTAGTTCAAACACGATATGTCCAATGAGTGAGCTGAAGTGATAGATGATGGTAATAAGTAGCCAGCGTGTAAATTAGAACATGAAACTTCGCATTCTCTTTAAGAAAAACGGCTTCACGGTTGCTTTTAAAACTTTAACATCTTGTTCAGCTTACTTCATTCTACATCTGATTAGGTTTTGGACCTGTCAGCTCAGTCTGTTAGCCATGTTTAGTGTCTTAAGAAAAGTTAGCGCGCGATAATACTTTGTTTCATATTGAACAGTGTTTTTGAGTTTTCACACTTTAACTATTTAGTAGCTTTATAAATAATTTCAGGTGTACTTTGTTGTAAAAGCCTATGTTATTGTTAACAGTAGTTATATGTGATAATTTTGTAAAAAGAAATCAGCAAAAACTCATAATCACTTTTTTATTGTTGGCCATTTTGGATTTTTCCGTCCTAAAATCTTGTCTGTAAAGTCTTGTCTACACGTTTTCAGGTGAACCTTTAGATAGATCAATTTCAAATTTTCAGGGATGATTCTTAGTTTGAAAATCTAGATCTGATTAGTTTTTGGGCATTCTGGGTAAATGTCAAGGCAGCAATTTTGGATTTTCCGTCCTTAAATCTTGCCTGTAAAGTCTTGTCTATGTGTTTTCAGGTGAACCGTTTGGTAGATCAATTAAAAATTTTCAGGGATGATCCTTGTATTAAAATCTAAAACTGATTAGTCTTTTAGCATTCTCGATAAATGTCAGGGCAGCCATTTTGGATTTTCTGTCCTAAAATCTTGTCTGTAAAGTCCTGTCTACGCGTTTTCAGGTGAACCGTTTGGTAGATCAATTTCAAATTTTCAGGGATGATTCTTAGTATGAAAATCTAAAACTGATTAGTTTTTAGGCATTCTGGGCAAATGTCAAGGCAGCCTTTTTGATTTTTCTGTCCTAAAATCTTGTCTGTAAAGTCTTGTTTATGCGTTTTCTGGTTTACTGTTTGAGGGATCAATTTCAAATTTTCAGGAATGGTTCTTAGTATGAAAATCTAGAGCTGACTAATTTTTGGGTATTCTGGGTAAATTTTAAGGTGGCCATTTGCATTTTCCGTACCAAAATTGTAACGGTAAAGTCTTGTCTACTCATTTTCAGGATAACCATTTGAAGGGATCACCCATTGGTGGGGACATATTGTACACATTTGTGTTCTTGTGATTGAGTTTACCGTTACCTTAAGTTATAGTCATCTGGGTTTATAGAAAAAATGTACATGTACTTCTTTTTGTATTTCAGCCCTGCCATTTCTACGGAATGCAGAAGAGAACGTAGTGTTTGCTAAGTATTTCACAAAACAATGGCAAGACACACTCATGGTCTCCCTACACAACTTCCTCGGTGTTGTATTCCAAAATATAAGTATCCTTGATCTAAATATATTTAAGGAATAAAGACCGAGATTCTATGATTTATGGCGCTATATATGACAGAAAATTTTATTCTGTTCATTGTTAAAAGACCGAAATCACATAGCGATTGACGTGTTTGGCAATGGCCAGAATAAAATCTGAGGTCATATATTTGCCATAAATCATAGAATCAAGGTCTTTGTTACGATTCTAATGTGATAAACGAACATGAAAAACAACTTTTTAAATAAGTGGTGCATATATGCCCCAATAGACTAATAAATCAATTGTTCTATAGTTATTGTGTCATCACACATTTGTCATGTAATTGTATTATCACAAGTAATATTTGGACTGGCAAGCCATACTTATGTTACTTTGTATTACGTCACATACTATGCCCATATCGAGGCTTTACGACACATTGGAATAAACTGAGCAGTCAGAGTCAAAACTCTTATCTTTATTTGGAATAATATAGTTACAGAACAATATCATATTAGAATTTTAATTTGAAGAAAATATAATGTCTCTTTTCTTCATCATAGGTATAGTTAGCTCACATGGTGAGCTTTTGCAATCAGTCACTTGTCCGTCTGTCCGTGCGTGCGTCCGTCCGTGCTTCCGTCGGTCTGTCAACAATAGTGGCACGTTTTAAAACCTCTGTGAATGGATTCCTGTTTTAAATTATTACTGTTCAACATCAATACAGAAAACTCCCCTATGACTCCTGGTTCAAAAGCTCGCCTACTTTCAAAATGGCCGCCATTTTTGTCTCGCGAAATTCACTTTTGACCCATTTCCTAGATTTACAAATAATAATTTCAGGTGGAATTTCAAAAAATCAGCAAAAAATTATATCCATTTTTTTATTTTCAGCCATTTTAGTTAACACTGATTTGTCCATCTGTGTCGCGAAATCCACTTTTGGACCATTTGCCGTAAAACCTCTGTCGATAGGATTCCCGTTTTAAGTTAATTTTGTTCAACATTAGAGAGATTTCGCACATAAGTAAAAGTACAACTTATACGTATACGTATACTTTAAAGGGTCATGTGGAACTATTGTATTTACTAAAATCAATTTTAAATTGTACTTAATCGAACATTAGCTATTCCCGATATAGAAAAGCTCCATCAACTAGAGACTGTGAATGCACAAATGGCATCCCTTTGACCTTTATTTATTACAGTCCGAGAAGATCTTTCCTGACGAAAAGCCCACATTATGAAACACCTTGTACGTTTACTTAAGTATACGTTAAAAGTTGTACTTTTCGTATGTGCGAAATCTCTCTAATAATACAAAAAACTCCCCTATGACTCTTGGTTCAAAAGCTCGCCTATTTTCAAAATGGTGGCCATTCTTGTCTCGCAAAATTCACTTTTGGCCCATTTGTCTTAAAACCTCTGTCGATAGGATTCCAGTTTTAAGTTATTTTTGTTCAACATCAATACAAAAAACTCCCCTATGACTCCTGGTTCAAAAGCTTGCCTATTTTGAAAATGGTCGCGAAATTCAATTTTGGCCCATTTCCTAGCTTAAAGGCCCCATATAAAGTTTAAACCACTTTGGCTTATATTGTAGTCCTACCCAATGTTATCAAAGTATGATATGTGGTTTTTGATAGACTTTTTGTTCCAAAAGAGGTCACACATATCTCTAATTAGCCACATTCATACCAATGTATAGCATTCATCCTCCCAGTGCATGAAAATGGTTCCGAGAAAAATGCATTTCAAAATTTTAGTTCTCATAGAAACCAATGGTACAATGATATCGAAAACATAATATATTCTTCCTTTTAACCTGGTTAGACAATCAACATTGGTTTATTATTTAAGTCTAGCATATTTAGAAAAGATTGACATCGAAAAAAAAATTTCAATTTTTTTCAAAAGGTTTTTGCTACCTTAGTGACATCACAAATGTTTCAAGATATTTTTGATATGCTAAAACATTGAAGTGGCCCATTAAATATGGCATTTTATTATTGGAATAGTGTGCCCTTTGTTCAATCTTTGCATTGGTGTTAAAAAGATAATCTTTTTTGAAATGCATTAAGAAATATTTGATGATTAAAAAATTTCAACTTTTTTTGAGAAATGGTGGGAAATTTGAATATTTGAGAAATGAAATGTTTTTTTCTCAAAAAATTTTTTTATTCAAAAATCTCTAAAATAACTTTTTAAGTCATGACAAATGGTAAATGAATGATAAAAAAATATTTTCAAACTTTAGATGGGGACTTTAACAAATAATTTCAGGTGTCCTGCATTGCAAAAAGCCATGTCACTGTAAAAAGTAGTTGTATGAAATAATTTTGTTATAATTGGCAAAAAATTATATCATTTTTTTATTTTCAGCCATTTTACTTAACATTGATTTGTCCATCTGTCCCTCAGTCAGTCCAAAATAGTGGCAAGTGGCTTGAAATAATTTTGTTACAAAAAATAGGCAAAAAATTATATCCGTTTTTTTTTTTTTATTTTCCGTCATTTTAGCCATCATTCACTTTTGAGCAACACCATGTGAGCCCAGTACCCATGGTACTATTTATTATCCCACCGAATGAAGTTCGAGGGGGATATAGAGAAGCCGTCCGTCCGTCCATTCGTTTGTCCGTGTGTCCGGGCGATAACTCTAATACCGGTTGACGGATTTGGTTCAAATTTTTTAGGCCTATGCCTTATGAGTATAGGACCCCTGCTCGAGAAGGAATTTTCAATATGGCCGCTCAATTCAAAATGGCTGCCATTTTTCGTAAAAAATGTAATCGTTGATAACTCAAATACAATTTGACGGATTTGGTTCAAATTTTATATGCTGATTAGGGGTCCCGCAATTGCTCGGATTTGCTGGAGCGCTCGAGCAATACGCCACGATACAAGCGTATCGATACTCACCTTGAATATCGGTTAAAAAATTGTACTTCCCAAAACAGCAAAATCATGCTCCAAAGCAGCTTAAATATGATTGTATCTACCCATTGTCCCGTTTCCATTTTGTTATCCGCCTAGCGTAATCCGGCGTAGAATGTATTTCCGGTTTACGGTAAAAAATGGAGAAAAAGAAAGAAATTCAAATTCAGCGGTTGACATTTGTCTTGTTAACGTATTTGTTTTTATTAAATAAATTTATTTGTTACGCACTTATATTGCTCGTATCGTTTGTATCGTATCGTGAGGTAAATATCGTTGCTCGTATCGAAATTGAAGATACTGTATCGTGGGACCCCTAATGCTGATGCCTAGGGACAAAGCAGTTTCGCACAAAAAGAGATTTCCAAGATGGCTGCTTAATTTCAAAATGGCCACCATTTTTTGTAAAAATATGTAATCTTTGATAACTCAAATACCAGTGAACGGATTTGGTTCAAATTTGATATGATGATGCTTAGGGACACAGTAGCTATGTTTGACAAAAAATTTTCAAGATGGCCGCTTAATTTCAAAATGGCGCCAATTTTTCGTAAAAAACGTAATCTTTGATAATTCAAATACCAGTGAACAGATTTGGTTGAAATTTTATATGATTATGCCTAGGGACACAGTAGCTCTGGTCAAGAAATAATTTTCAAGATGGCGGCCAATTTTCATAAAAAACGTAATCTCTGATAACTCTTACCAGTGAACGGATTTGGTTCAAATTTTATTTGATGATGCCTAGTTCACAATGGTATAAACTAACTTTGTGCCTTTCATGCTTCTATCACAAAGTGCACAAACATTTCAACATTTACTCTAGCTATAATAAGCATAATATGTTTTGTTCGGTGGGATTTGCTACATCTAGTTTTCGATAGTAATAATAACTGAAACTGCAAAAGAACATTGTACTATGACAATGAATAATATACAAGTACATGTACATGTAAGTAAAAACATATTTTCAAAAGTAGGCTGCTTATATATTGATAAAAAAATACATCAAAATCAACTTTTTAGGAAAATAATTATCACTTGGAAATCAGAATAGTTCTGTATTTTATAAATGTGTAACTTGAACCAACTTTTGTTTGCACAGTAATTGCACCCTATTATCATAAAATGGCTGTGTTAAACATATGATAAATGGTGAATGTTCTCTCTATTATAGATTGCCAGTTAGATCTGTTATTTTAGTCCATTAGAGATGGCCAACCTTTTGTCTTTAATAAGTGGACAGTGTTCAGCCCAAAGTAAATTACTACTGTTAAGGTGGCCTAAAGTGCTGCTTATTTTTTAGCGAAGCCACTCAGTAAAATTACGATTTCTCTGCACCCTGATGTCCAATCAACATCATTCGAGAATCTATGTGTTCCTGACACGTTTGGGCATCCGGTAATGACAACGTCTACCCAATGTTTGCACTCAAAATTGACGTAATTCATGACTGAAATCGGGAAGACAAAAATATGTGATATTCTTTCAGAATTGTTTCTAATAACTATTTACAAAAATGTTCCCGAGACACAAATCCATTTAGGTAAGATTTGTTTTCAAGTCCAAAAGCCCCAATTAGACAATACAAACCCAGATAAAACCCGGAAGACTGCATATTTCATGTAATGATTTACGTTCATGTGAACAAGTAAAGTACATAATCCCCATATAAAACACTAGCATGTAATAACATGTACAAACTGAAATATGGAAAATTTTCAACATAGCATTGGCTTCCGTGTCCTGTATGCCCCTCTACCTGCTTAATAAGGCAATGTATCTTCAAATAAAACCTTAGCCAAGTAGATTAGAGTCTCTGGAACACTTTTGTAGTTTTCACAAGCAATTTTGTTTGTGAATCTCAAATTTTGTCTTCCTGATTTCAGTCATGAATTATGTCAATTTCGCGTGTGAACTTTGGGTAGCTGTTGTTATTCCTGGACGCCCAAACGCGGCAGGAACTCATAGATACTTGAATGATCTTGATTGGACATCAGGTTGCAGAGAAATCGTAATTTTACTTAGTGGCTTCACGAAAAAAAAAAGGTCTATACGCCTCGTTTTCAACGGCTAATGTTCAGTCCATCATAAATGGTAACTGTCCTTAACCTTTCACCAGCCCAACCAGCATTATTACAATATGATCAGGACCAGATAACAATCAAGAAACTGCAAGATGAAAATGAGCTTTACAGACAACAGGTAAGATAAACATTATATCCCACACTCCTTTTTATGTCCCCACCACATAGTGTGGAGCAATATTGTTGTCCTAGGCGTGTCTGTCTGTCTGTCCGTCGGACATTTTTGCCCAAAACCGCTACAGATATCTCCTTCAAATTTTCAGGGATAACTAATGATCATACAGATGCAGTAGGCCATTTTGAAGTCAAATACTAAAATCTTTGTCTGCAGATTTTAAGAAAAACGGTTTCACAGTTGCTTTCTATTTCCACACCACATAATGTGGGGCCATATTGTCGGCCTAGGCTTGTCTGTCCGTATGTCCGGCAGTTTTCTCCAAAAACCGCCACAGATATCACCTTCAAATTTTCAGGGATGACAGATGTGCATATATACAGATGTGAACGAAAATTTTTTGGCTCCATACCTACTTCCTGTCAGCCATTTTGAAGTCAAATGCTAAAATCCCTGTCTGCAAAATTTAAGAAAAACAGCTTCACAGTTACCTTTAAAACTTTAACATCTTGTTCAACTCACTTCATTCTACATCTGATTAGGTTTTTGACCTGTTAGCTCAGTTCTGTTAGCCATTTTGAATGTCTTAAGAAAAGGAAGCGAGTGATAATACTTTTTAGGAATGATTCTTTGTATGAAAATCCAGAACTGATTACTTTTTCGGCATTCGATCTGCAGGGGAGGATTTGCCATCCTAAAATCGTGTCTGTAAAGGCTTGTCTACTCATTTACAGGATAACCATTTGATGGATCGATTTCAAATCTTCAGGGATGATTCTTAGTATGAAAATCTAGAACTGACTACTTTTTCGGCATTCTGGGTAAATTCTAAGATGGCCATTTTGGATTTGCAATCCTAAAATTGTGTCTGTAAAGGTTTGTCTACTCATTTTCAGGATAACCATTTGATGGATCGATTTCAAATCTTCAGGGATGATTCTTAGTATGAAAATCTAGAACTGACTACTTTTTCAGCATTCTGGGTAAATTCTAACGTGGCCGTTTTGGATTTGCCGTCCTTAACTCATGTCTGTAAAGTCTTGTCTACCCATTTTCAGGATAACCATTTGACGGATTGATTTCAAATCTTCAGGGTTGATTCTTAGTATGAAAATCTAGAACTGACTACTTTTTCGGCATTCTGTGTAAATTCTAAGGTGGCCATTTTGGATTTGCCATCCTAAAATCGTGTCTGTAAAGTCTTGTCTACTCATTTTCAGGATAACCATGTCACAGATCGATTTCAAATTTTCAGGGATGATTCTCAGTTTGGGTAAATTGTAAGGTGGCCATTTTGGCTTTTCGTCCTTAAATCTTGTCTGTAAAGTCATGTCTACTCATTTTCAGGATAACCATCTGGCGCATCGATTTCAAATTTTCAGGGATGTATGAAAATCTATAGAACTGATTTGTTTTTCGGCATCATTGGTAAATGTTAAAGCAGCCATTTTGGATTTTCCGTCCTAGAATCTTATCTGTAAAGTCTTGTCTACGCGTTTTTAGGTTAACTGTTTGAGGGATCAATTTCAAAATTTAGGGATGATTCTTATATGAAAATCTGTGTTGGATATGAAAGTGTTCTAGATTGCTGATTTTCTCCCTTCCCTTGCTTTCTGATTCCTGATCTACCTCACCCTCATGAAATTAAAGTTACCAACAATTTCATTTGATGACACTACAGATAATGATGAGAATGCTTATCAAATAAATTTATTTCATTATTAATACTCAAATAGTATACAACTGGGAATTATTCAGACATAAATGTTCATACAGTATATTTGGACACTTGACAGTCAACGTCAGTTAACGAAATCCCCCAAAATGCTAATTTACAACAAGAACACAAATGTGTACAACATATCCCTACCAATGGGTGATCCTATATACTGCACATCCTGAATGCCTAACACTAATCAGTTGAATAGACAAGATTTTAAGAGAAAAATCCAACAACTAAGTAGTTTGAGATTTTCATTCAAAGAATCATTCCTGAAAATTTGAAATCGATATGTCTACTAGTTCGCCAGAAAACATGTAGACAAAAGACTTTGCAGAGAAGATTTTAGGATGAATAATTCAAAATTGCAACCTTAAAATTTTCCCAGAATGCGGAAAAAGTAATCAGTTCCAAAATTTTCATACTAAGAGTCATCCGTGAAAATTTGAAATTGATCCATCAAACAGTTATCCGGAAAACGCGTAGACAAGACTTTACAGACAAGATTTTAGGACAGAAAATCCAAAATGGCTGCCTTGGCATTTACCAAGAAGGCCGAAAAACTAATCAGTTCTAGATTTTCTTTCTAAGAATCATCCCTGAAAATTTGAAATCAATCCGTCAGAAAATATGTATAGACAAGCCTTTACAAACATAATTTTAGGAAGCCAAAATGGCCACCTTAAAATTTATGCAGAATGCTAAAAAATAAACAGTTCTTTATTTTCATACTAAGATCATTCCTCAAAAATTATCCCTAAAACGGTTAACCTGAAAATGCATAGACAAGACTTTACAGACATGATTTTAGGATGGAAATCCAAAATGGCCACCTTAAAATTGACCAAAAAAAGTGAAAAACTAAATCAGTTCTAGATTTTCATACTAAGTAACCATTCCTAAAAATTTGAAATTGATCCCTCAAACGGTTAACCTGAAAAAGCATAGATAAGACTTTCCAAAAATCCAAAATGGCCACCTTAAAATTTACCCAGAATGCCAAAAAAGTAATCACTTCTAGATTTTCATACTAAGAATCAGCCCTAAAAATTTGAAATTGATCCGTCAAACAATGCGTAGACAATTAAGATTTTACAGACAAGATTTTAGGATGGAAAATCCAAAATGGCCACCTTAAAATTTTCCCAGAATGTTAAAAAAGTTATCAGTTCTTGATTTTCATACTAAGCATCATCCCTGAAAATTTGAAATTAATCTACCAAACCGTTCACCTGAAAATAGACAAGACTTTTCAGACAAGATTTAAGGATGAAAAAATCCAAAATGGCCGACAATAAAAAAGTAGAAGTGAGTTTTTGCTGATTTCTTTTTACAAAATTATTGCATACAACTACTGTTAACAATAATATATAGGCTTTAACAACACAGAACACCTGAAATTATTTATAAAGCTACTAAATAGTAAAAGTATGAAAACTCAAAATCACCATTCTAATATGATACAAAGTATTATCGCTCACTAACTTTTCACTCGGTTTTCAGTGGCATAAATAAGCCAAAAAATTAAGATTTATTTTGAATTTTACAAAAATTGATGCAAATTCCTTCAAAATTGAGCAAGAAGCTTCAAATAAAAAGCATTTTAAAGCTATTTTCTTCCTCTATCTCATGGTTATATTTTTATTTGTTATCGGGGGTGCACCCATCGCCCATCGCACCCCCCCTGGCTATGCCTATGCCATGACTGAGATAACAGGTCTAAAACCTAGTCAGATGTAGAATGAAGTGAGCTGAACAGGATCACTGGTCAAGCGAAGGTAACGGCCGTCACCTTCACATCAAAGATGGCAGACGGGAAGTGTCAGTTTTGATATTTTTCTTTTTCATCGAATTAAACTACTTTATGGTTGACGTAATGCTTTGATATTTGAACCAAATCAGACTCATATGGCATGGGAACTATGGGATATGATAATATGTTCACATATCATGCGTTGGTGCCACAGTTCAAGGATATCTTCCACCGCTTAAGGGAAGGTAACTGGAAATGTTCAGCAACAGTCATGTTAGTTTTCAATACACAGTAACGAGACATCTCAGCTCTCCATTATAAACTCTCATAACGTTCCCGCATCACCGAATATCAGTTATCTTATCATCTGTAAAACCAAAATCCCAGTTACCCTCCCTTAAGCGGTGGAAGATATTGTTGAACTGTGGTGCCCACGCACGCATGGTATATGAACAAATGATCATACCCCATAGTTTCAATTGGGGGATTTCGTTAACTGACGTTGACTGTCAAGTGTCCAAATATACTGTATGAACATTTTGTTTATATAATTCCCAGTTGTATACTATTTGAGTATTAATAATGAAATAAGTTTATTTTGAAGCTGTAAGTATTCTCATCATTATCTGTAGTGTCATAAAATGAAATTGTTGGTAACTTAAATTTCATGAGGATGAGGTAGATCAGGAATCAGAAAGCATCCATTTGTCACTCCTATGCATCCTATAGGGAACCTATGAATTGTTAAAAACACGATGTTTTTTGGTTAATTTATGACGTTAAGGGTTTCCTGAAGAGATTTAGCTGGGTTGGACAAAAAGTAAGTTTGGGGAAAAAATAATACAGGCTAATTAGCAAGGTCATTATTGAAATACCGATTGTTTTCTATTATTTTCTATTAGTGTGTGCCAATTTGCTTTCTAAGTGGCTTAGTTAGGCTAAACCTATGTTGGGGTAGCTTTCTATGAATTGACTTTTAGTCATTTTAGATTGATCTATTATCTATTCATTTTTACTTGTCTGCAGTCAAAAAAGTGACATGTAAGGGCTAAACGGCTAGCACTTAGGTGCGACCGTCAAAAAGATGAGTTTGAAAAATATACATTTTTAAAAATAATACTAGTAAGTGCACCAAATAGAATGCAAATTTGATATTGATTTGTAATGAAAGTTCATTCGGGTGTGGTAATTTTATTAAAAACAATTATGGTAAAAAATTAGACATTTATGACCTTAAAATGCGTTTTCAATTGAAAAGTTACTGTTGTCAAGGATATTATTTCTGTTTTATATTGTCAATGTTTTGTAAATACATATATCAATAACCATTTTATTAGTTTTTGACAAAGTAAATAATTATAGGGCTTACACAAGGATCAACTTTGTTTACAGCATTTTCATATTTAGTGATATTTTGAAAAAATATGAAGTTAAACTAAATTTTATTTTTATCGTACCTAACAAAAGGTACGATATTGTAGTCAGCTTGACGGGCGGGCGGGCGGGCGGGCGGGCGGGCGGCGTCTCACT